GGTGCATCAATACGATAATTTCCTCGATGTTCTTTAATATTAAGATTACAAAACCGAAACCCAAAAACAATTACTATATTTATAATACGACAATTTTATTCTAAATAATTCATCGGCCACAAAAAAGATATATCTCCCCATTTCATATATATATATATATTTCATCAGATATCCCATTACATTTTTTCCATTATCATAAATATCAAACATTATTTTATATTTTCTATCATTAATTCAACATTATCAATAATTTCATCTTTTCACGTAAATCGCGAATCTTAGCTCTCGCATATCGAATCTCAAATCTCGTCTCTTCAATTCCGAATTTCGTACTACGAACCTCGGATTGAGAAACATCTCGGATTTCATTTTATAAATCTCGAACCTCGCATATCTCAAAATATGCAAAAATTAAATCATATTATTGTCGAAATTTTAATCCAAACATCAAAGATATTGAGGCCATATAACCTATTTCACAACCGTTCTTATCAATATTTAACAAACAAAAATCCAATCGTTCCGTCTCTATCCTCATATCGACCAACCCCAATTAAATCTTTTTCTTATATCAAACAATTCAATCCAAATTAATATATAACATTACCATATTCCCAATTAATATATAAATAATATTAGAATCTATCCTAAAATAAAACATATAATAAATATATATTAATATCAACCAAATTCAAAATTACATAATTATACATTTTAAAATAACAAAGAAATAACAAATATATATAATTCCAACATATAATATTTTTTAGAATTAGTTCCATTAACAATATGGAAACAATAATATGTTTTTCCATTTAATCGAATTTGTACAGATATATTGAATATTGTAATTTTTATTGTTTTAATAGATAATTCAATAATAATATATTTATTTCGCAATATATATATATAGAATATTCATTCATTCAGCTGCCAGCGGACGAGTCAGGTCCGCCCGTGTTGGGCCGCACGAACCAGGCGTGGATCCTTCGTGAGGATCAATAGCCCATCTGGATGCAAAACATCACGCGAGGTGTTCCGAAATGAAGGCACCTAGTGGAGCAGTCCTAGGCTGCGGGAGGGGTCTACGGTATTCGGTTCGAATCTCTTGCATTGGAGCCAACCAAAGCAGGTAGATATTCTGGTAGAAAGGCGAGTCTCGAACCAATCTGGTCGGGATTCGCTTGTCGTCATACAGAAGGCCCGCCCCTGAGTTGAACAGAATGGCCTGGTAGTGGCCATCTACAGGAGTGCGACCAATGGAAAGGATTTCGGCAACATTTTGCAACTCAATCCAAGACACAGAGCAATGATTGCATCCATCAAAAATAGGCATCTGTATGCTGTTCCATTCCCAAGTGACAGCCTGGCGATGTCTATGCTGCAATCGTGGATGTCGTTCCAACTGCAAGCATATCCAGGAGCTGGCGGTTCGAAGGCCGTTCAAAAATGGTGCTTATCGATGCCACTGCCGGATGGCCTGTTGCAAGGCCGTGCTGACCTCAGGTAAGTCTCGGAAAACGATTGGGGATATGAGGGATCCATTGTCTTCGGTGGTGGAGGTCAAACGTGAATCCCATGCATATAAAATCAAAATTCCTCCAGGCATCAGCTTCTTTTCAAACATCTGAGCTCTCATCCAGCAGGCGAACTCTCGTGCATCATGTTACGCAATGGAATCATGGGAGGTGAACCAAATTTCAAGCAATCTACCTAAAAACGAACCATGGCATGGAGTATAAGCCTCCCCCGCATGTGGGATGAACATGCTCAAAAATCGGCTGCGTCCATGCATCCCAAGTGTCTAGCTCAAGCGAGGTCATCAAAAGAATTGTCCATAGCTGGGCAATCAAAACAATGCTCATGGGAGATTGCTATTGTCAGCGGTGACCTCTGCAAAATCGTCTGCCTCATCCACAAAAGGATAAGTTGAGTAATGCCGTTACCGGCCAACTTAAGAAGGAACGTATACAATTCCTAAAATTCTAGTCCTCGAAGATTCAAATCCAGGCGCCAAGAGATGGCTATTGCAGCGTCCTGGGGCAAATTGTCTTGGCTAAGGGAACGTAATGCAACGAATTTCAACACCAAGCCAAAATGTTCAACGTCAATAACGGCTTCTAATTCGGCTGCAAAGCTTTGACCTCTAAATTCCAGGAAAAAAATTGCCATTTAAGGTCTTCCGTCAAAATGCCCTTTGCGAGACCAATACATCGTTTTTTTCTCGATATTCAATTTACTAGTTCGATTAATCAGCTCGAAAAAGACGATTTAGAACATAAACCAGCGAAATAAGATCATAATTTATCCATTTTAATGTTGGGCGTTCCACAACATTCCCTACTCGAATAAATATAACATCAATAACCCTCTACCGCATTAAATAAATATCATCAAGCTTCAATCCAATGCAATATAAAAAATACATTTATATCAATAAATAAAAACTCAATATATATATAAATTAGCCCAACTAAAAACCCCAATAACAAAATATAAACCGAGACAAAAAAGAAAATCTAGAAGCAAATATTGTTTTCAATATATCGATCATCTCTTCCTTAGACGCCATCATCACAAAACCGGCACACCAACAAAATAACCAGGGCACCATCAAAACATAACCGAGACACCGTCACAACATAATTGGGACACCATCACAACATAACCAAGATCCCATCACAAAGTGATCGGGACACCAACATAATATAACGGGCAAACCATCACAACATAATCGGGACACTATCATAAAATAACTAAGGCACCATCAAAACATGACCGAGATACCGTCACAACATAATTGGGACACAATCACAACATGACCGGGACACCATCACAAGATGACCAAGACACCATCACAACATAACCGGGACACCGTCACAACACGACCGGGACACCATCAAAACAGGACCGGGACACCGTCACAACAGGACCGGGACACCATCACATGACCGGGACACCATCAAAACATGACCGGGACACCATCACAACATGACCGGGACACCATCAAAACATGACCGGGACACCATCAAAACACGATCGGGACACCATCACAACATGACCGGGACACAATCAAAACATGATCGGGACACCATCACAACATGACCCCACACCATCACATGATCGGGACACCAGCATAACATAACGGGGACACCATTACAACACGACCGGGACACCGTCACAACACGACCGGGACACCATCAAAACATGACCGGGACACCATCACATGACCGGCACACCATCAAAACATGACCGGGACACCATCACAACATGACCGGGACACCGTCACAACACGACCGG